TCTATCTAAGCACTTACTTGCAAAGCCCATTTAGTTAAACTCACATAAATTAAATGCAAGTATGAGGCAACTCCATTGTATTAATATGCCTAAAAGCAGCTATGCTTATTTTTAATTACCAGTATTTCTTTCACAATCCAATTATATCAAGATTATTTAGTGTTTCGAATAATACTGGCAAACACAGATAACAACAAGCATAGCCATGAGCATGTTAAACTCCTGTGTGGTCTTTCACCTGAAAAAAGTCCAGATATATACAAAAATGTGAAGAAACTATAAGACAAAGGAAATGTCTTCACTGTTTTAAGTATTTATATTTCAAGATAAACATTCCAGAATGTGAACCAAAAGAACGCTACTGCTAATTCAAAATCAACAAAAAAGAAGCATGAATTGAGAAACAAATCGGGCTAGGTATGGTTGGTTACCTCAGTGGACCCACAGAAGAAGCCTATCTCAAGGCAAAAACTGGAATGGAGAGTTTTGAGAATGCTGCCATTTGGGTAAGTACTACCAATTTACCAGTGTTTACTTTTCAACAGACCAGTATTGCCCTCTTCAAGTTTCCTAGATACCACGCAGATATTCCTCAATGGGTAAGTCATGGTGTTTGCATATGTACTGGTGTCGATTCCTTATGTGTATTTATAGCTGCCTTAGTTTATTCCTCTGTCTCTATTTCAATCTTATTTCAAAAACATACCTATTGTGTTTAGTATTTTTTCTATAGCAATTAAGTTTTCTGCATCTCCAGGAAGCATTCCTGGGCAGAATACATGGCAAAGTGAACCTAACGCAAAACTAAAACTAAATAAGGATATACTTAGCACAGATTTCCTTCCAAGCAATGATAAGTCTCATACTGACCCCATGTGACAGAAGAGAACTGCCCCATAGGGTTTTCTTGGCTGCAATCTTTACAGATCATCAGGTCTTTCTCCCTGCTGGGTGGGTTCGAATGGTCAACCTTTTAGTTAGCAGCTAAGTGCTTAACCATCAGAATTTACTCGACAGCACCCAACAAAAACAATGATAAATCAAGAACTGAAATAATCACATTAACTTCTGAGAACTAAATAATTATTTTTAAATATATTTGATAACCTAGAAGAATGAAAAACTGGGAGATTACATATGCACAAATTTCATTTTTAATAAAATTGTATAAATATAAATCAAATTTTCATTTTTTATGTATTCCTAAGGACACATTTTAATACCAATGTTCCAAATCACTAAAAAGAACTAATCTGGACAGTTAATAATGGCGGTGCTGTAATTACTGCCTATGCACTTTAAAATTATGTATCATACACAGAACAGTTCACCTGCTTCGATACATTAAATAATCAATCCTTATCTATAGCAGATATAGAAATTATAGAAAAAAAAAAGAAAGAGAGAAGAACTCCTAGACAAGAGAAATAACATAGGAGTTTCAGTGCTAAAGAAAACCATCTGGCTAGTCTGAAAATCTGCTTTTGTGTGTAAAATCTTTTCAACAATCATCAATTAATTACTCTTGAAAGTACTCTAGGCTTAGAATCAAAGTGCAGGTGCACTTAGTTCCCTCTGGGAACCTTTTCTTCATGCCACCATGCAGAATTCCCCTCTCTCCTGTGACGTCCCAACGGCCCTTAACATGTATGTACTCCTGATAAAGGTGATAATTATTACTTTATATTTAGTATAGTTTTTATTCCTTACATTCCCCACTTGATTGTGAACTCTTTGAGATTAAGATCTATGTTTAATTCAGATCTGTATACCCCACAATATCTACCAGAGTGCCTTGCAGATAGACTTATAAGTATGTACTTTATAAATATACTCAAAGATACTCCCTCCTGAATACACATTTTTAGCTTGTTCCAAAATAAACTATGTTGTACGTTATTTTCTATTTTTCTTCCTATTTCTCGGTAGCTCCTATTACCACTTTTACTAACTTCCCTTATCCCTGTTTCCTGAGGAAATTTGTTCATCTGTTCATTCAAATCATCTAATAAATATTTGTCAAGTACCTACTTTGTACCAGGTGTGTGTAAGGTGCTGGGGTTACATCAGTGAATAAGCTCCTTAAGGAGCAAAGAATCTAGTGGAAAAAAGAGACAAGTAAATATGTAATTATAAAACAATGTGATAAGTATTACAACAGATGTGAATACATGATACTGTGTAAGAAAATAAGAGAGACATTTAAAAGCATTTCCCCTAAGTTTCTGTCTGCGGTTTATCTTTTTCCTTACATTATTCTCTCTCTTAGTCTTCTATCCGTCCATCCATCCATCCATCTGCCTCCTTGTCTAACTTCTTTCCTTCAATTTTTTAAATAGATAATATATGCATGTGGTACAAAATACAAAAGCTGTAGAAGAGTACATAAGTGAAAAATATGTCTGTCTTCTTCCCACCGTATCCCCAGCCAACTAGTTTACCTTCCCAGAGGCAAATACTGTAATATCCAGTACCTAATTCTAGAGATATTCTATGCATATACAACCATATGTGCACATATATATGGTCTTATTTTCTTTTAACACAAATGCACCTTGCTTCTTTCACTTCATAATGTATCTGTCAGGGATTGAGTTGCTTCCCCCAAAAATACGTGTCACCTTTGCTAGGCCATTATTCCCAGTAGAGCATGGTTGTTCTCCATATTGTGATCTGATGTAATTATCCTCTACTATGTGATGTGTTGTAAATCCTAACCTCTGTATGTTAATGAGGCAGGATCAGTGTGGAGGTGTACCTTGAGTGACAGTCTTACAAGGGTCACACCCTCAGTCAAGTCACACCCTTACTCAAGTCACACCCTTACTTAAGTCATATCTTTGCTGAATCATACCTTTTATCTTACCAGAGATAAAAAGAGAAAAAACCAAGCAGAGAGGGGAGGGACCTCACTACCACCAAGAAAGAAGAGCCAGGAACAGAGTGCGTTCTTTGGACCCAGGGTCCCTGTGCTGTGAACCTTCTAGACCCAAGGGAAGATTGATGCCAAGATACACAGAGATCTCCAAGGAATGCCAGGCCCACAGATGTTGAAAGGAGACAAGGACCCTCCCCCAGAGCTGACAGAGAGAGAAAGCCTCCTGGAGTTGGTGTCCTGAATTTGGACTTCTAGCCTCCTAACTGTGAGAGAATAAACTCGTTTGTTAAAGCCATTCACTTCTGGCATTTCTGTAATAGCAGCACTAGATAACTAAGACAGTATCTTAGAAATTGTTCCCTATCAGTCCATATTGGGCCCCCTCATTCTTTTTAACGGATATAGAGTATTCTTCTGCATGGGTGTAACAAAATTTATTTAAGAATCTCCTTACTAAATGCTCATTTCACTACAATGTTGCAGTGAATAATATTTATCTATATATCATTCTCCAGTATATTTGTGAGTATGTCTGTAGTATAAATTCCTGGAAGTAAAATGGCTGAGTCCAAGAATATGTACATTTTTTTAATTTTGACAGATACTGCCATATACACTTTATCAATTTCATTCCCAATGGCAAACTTATTCACCCCTATAATTATAACTTTTATGAGAACGTCTCCCAAACCTGTTATCTATAGCTCTAAGCCTTATTTACTCTCTATGATATTTCCACATACATATTTCCTTAGAACATTAGGAAAAACTTTTGCAAAATCAAATTTAGAATCTTTACCCACATGTTCTTCATAATTTCCCTAGATCTGGTAATTCACTTTTGATAACTTCTCTCTTTGTTTCTAAGCACATCCAATTAATTAGTTGTTAAAATCTACCTATTCTACAATTTCATTACCTCATGTTCTTTGTATTTTCTCAACCAACATTTGACTACAAAGGCTCATTTCTGCATACCTGGACCATTATCTAACCACTCCAGTTCTTCTGGCCTTCCTTCACCCCACCAGTGATTCTGTTCACACCATCCTCTCTGCCTGAACGATCTTCTCAAATCACTTCCGCTGTTGAAATCTCATTAAGTATTTAAGGCTTTACCTAAATGCTAGATCATCCAGAAAGCATTTTCTTTTATGAATTTATTTAGCACTTAGCTCAAATAACACATTCTAATTTATAACAGAGTTATAAGATAACTTATAAACTCCTTCATAGCAAGGACAATGCCTTAACACATTTACATAAATCCACACTGCCCGGGCACTCAAAATGTATTTACAAAATGGAGGAATAAATTGTTGCAATGAACTAATTCTTACAAATAAGATAATTCTATGGGTGGAAATATTCTATAGAGGATATTTAATTATGTTATTTCTTTTAGAAAATAAGACTATTTTAACTCTATTAGACACAAGCCCCTATTTAATAATTAAATATATTTCAGAAAGCCCACAATGTAAAATATTTCCAGTAAATTACTATTTTTCCTCACATTAATTTTGATCTCAGAAACAGAGAAGAGAAAGGATAGAGAATAAAGAATTAAGTAAAATCTACTACTAAAATGACTGAATTTCTCTACATTACAAGATGCCTTAAATCTCTTAAATATAGCCACGGTTACTCTACTACCATGTAGGAGGAGTGAGAACACAGCCACAATGTGCCTATGAGCTACTTGTTCAATTGAGTTTAAAATGGGTAAAACGACTTTTTGCAAATTTCACAAAAATCCTACTTAAGGAAAAACTTTGAAAAGCATCATATATCCTACGTTTCCGGCTTTCAAAATTTAATAACATTACCCCAAAGTACACTTGTGATAAAACTTTTTATATTTAAAAAATATTTTAAAATACATAGTATATATAAGTATGTATATGATTACATAAAAGCAGTTATATAAAAAGCAAATGATCATTACATATCTTTAGAAATTATTCAGCTCCCATCTACTCGAAAGTAGAAAGAGCTGAATAAACCCCTTTCAAGAAACGGAGAATTGCTATAGTATAACTTGCATTTGAAATAATTCGTTTTTAAATAATGAAAATACTACCATGCAAATTAAAGTGCTAGATTTACTTCTTTGACTCACCTCTCCCCCATTAACATACTCCATCACAAAACACAAACGGTCTTTTGTCTGGAAGGAGTATTTCAAGGACTTGAAATAAAAAAGAAAAAATGTTATATTATAATCCCACATTCTTATCATTATGATACCAAAAATAGAACACTTAGAAGTAGTAAAGCATGACCGAGTAAATGGATTGTTAGTGTTCCTTAAGCATCTACTGGCACTGCTTAAATAAGAGTTTATGAGAAATGTGAAACTCACTCAAATTAACTCAGCAATAGCTACATCAGGGGAAAAATATTAAAACTTACAGTAAAAGTGAACTTAATAATTGTGATGAGCACTTTTCAGTCTACCGAGCCATCTATTTGAAACTGTAGTGGTCTCCCAAATTCTCATCTATGCTGCTTCAAACTGCAGCCTACAAACTTCTCAAGTGGAAGTGGCTTAGGAATACAGTTACGGCTGTTATATTCAGGTTCCCAATAAAGCTTTAACATCACTTTTTGCATACTGGGTGTACACCATGCCCCAAGCCAACAGAGTTGGTTCATGTAATTTTATAGGTTACAAAAGATATCAAAACTTTAGAGCTATCTTACTACACCGAAAAAGTAAACACGTAATAATGTTACAAAGTAAGTCTAGGTGTCTAGTGATAGCTCTGGAAATTTCTACTTTAGATAATCCTAAAACTCTAAATGTTCCCCTTTTGAAAGTCTAGCTGTTATTTTTAATTTTACTATACTACGTTGGAACCAACAACATACAGAAACTTTGCAAACGATGCCTCTGTTACAAGGAATCTACAAACAGGAATAAAAACTGAATGTTTGTTTCAAAGCAACGAAATAATATGCAAATAAATCAAAGTTCTTATTCTGTCCAGTGAGAAAACATATCATGATTTATCCTGTCTTTAACTTAATATATTCAGTATTATTGTATATCTTAACATACTCTATCCCTTAAAGAAGTCTGTTTCTATAAAAGTATTCAACAAATATTTCTACTCTTCGCATTTGAATACCATGCTGCCTGATCATTTAAATATTTACCAGAAGCAAATAAAAGAAGCATAAAAACCTTACATTTGATATTAAGGATTGTTTTTAAAAGTTTACCATTTTCTCAGTGGTTGCCTTAAAATGCTACAGGTGATTCATCTGCTCCGTTTCTTTTTTTTAAGGTAATGAAATTCATGAGAGAAAAAAACGTTTCAAGAAAGTAATGGGTGTATAACATTAATGTGAAGAGACTATAAATGCATATGCATTGTAAATTTAATTCATACGCTTCAATAATTTCAAAGAAATTTGACACTGGTCTTTCCACAAAGAAAATGGCATGTCTAAACGAATGTGAGTTAAACTACTGTCCACAACTTAGTTTCTATAACAAAATTCCTTAAACTTAAAATGTTGTGATTATTACATCTGTCCTCTAGTCACTTACTGTTAAAAAGGGATGTCTAGTATTCTTTAATACTCTGCTTTCAGTTAGAGTGTGTGCCACTTCATCCTACAAAAGAAAAAGGCAAACTTTTAATATATGTTCTAAGCACTGATAATCTAAAAATTTCATGATTCCTCTAAGACTCGTAGAGGTGAATGCTGGAGAAATGACAGAAACAGATTTTAAAACACAGTAGCATGCTTCCTTTATGGCTAAGCTTCCCTTCCACAAAAAACAAACAAATTTATATATACACACATATATATAGCTCTCTCAAATCAACGATTTCATTCAGATGATTGTAAAGCATTATATTCATGCGTATAAACTCACTTATACTTAATGTCTATCAATAATGATGCAAAATCAACAAGAAAAATTATCCAGGACATAGAATATTAAACATCAAGCTTTTCTCCTTAAAAGAAATGCCTTATCACCTAATACTTAGCCATGAGATAGTTAATATTTCCATGTTTGGAATACATTTTATTCACAGAAATATAACAGATATATTTTAGTAAAGATCACAGAATCTATAAATCTCCTACTTAAAAGAAAAATCAATTATTAAAAAGAAGAACACAAGAATACAGATATAAGACTTAATTCTAATTTAAAATTTTTAGAAATAAGAACAGAGCATAAAAATTGCATCGGCTTGTTTGTGGCTTTTCAATGCGTCCCCTTCCTAGTCGAGGTGAGAATTTGAAAATTTAGGTGTATAAATTATATTTCAAACCAAAAACATAAAACATTTATTTGCCGAAAGAGTATACTGCCCTAAAACCACTACGCTACCAGGGTTTCCAGAAAGTGAAGTATAAGTGAAATATATAGAAAACAGAAAAAAAAAGTTTCAAATCTCAGATGTAACAGGATCTTAAAGAAGAAAACTACTGAAACTAACAAGGCATCTCTGTTCCAGGCTTCTGGCAAGATCCTAAACAAAGGCCCTTCTGGATCAATTTCTTAACACCGTCAGCAAATCAAAATCAGATTATAAGTAAGATGTGGCAGCCAGAACAGCACGACATTGCATCATGTTTAACATCTTTACAAAAGCATTTGACCTTAGTGAAATCTAGAAAATAATTGAGAAACAGATTGATCAAAGAAGCTAAGACCCCAAAGCCACTCCAAGAGAGTGAGGCCAATTATGTCTGAACAGAAAGTAAAGTATAATTAACAACCTAGTATTTAAAATCAGTGAAGAAAGTATGAGTATGAAACCATTGCAGTCTCTATTTTATAGAAGCCAGGTTTAAATGTTCAAGCAATATGAAAGTCACTGTTATACTACTATCATCCCTAAATTAATTAAAAGAATAGCAAACACCTTTATATGAAATAAATTAGGAGCAAAAATACCACCATAATGTTGATTTTTTTATGTCCACAGTACCTACCTAGCATATGCTTAGCATAAGTAAGCACTCAATGAATATTTGTTGTAACTGAGCTGCTTATCATAGGAATGAATTTTAAGATGTCAGGTGTGTGGGAGTTCATTCATTCACTTCTCCATTTAACAAATATGTAACAAAAATATACTGGGCATTGTTCTAGACACTGAAAATGAAGCAAAGAACAAAAGAGACAAAAGTCCCTGCCTTCATGGAACTTTCATTCTAGTTAAATGGCAATCAGTGTTAATGGAAAAAAACAAAGCAGAGAAGGGGCTACTACAGCTTATGAATATAAAATACGTAATTAAGCATTACATGAGTGGCTATTTTATGTGTGATATACAGAATCCATTTCATTCATTAGAAAAACAAAATCTTTGATGTGCACTTACTAAACGCTGAGGATGGTGTAGGTAGAAAGTGGTTAAAAGAATAAAAAAACATGGCCCTTTTGTTTATGGAGTTGACAGGCTAGAGGAGAAGACATAACAAACAAGTAAATATTTAAGTGAAGAAATAATTACCAATTCTAATAACTGGTATTAAGAAAATATAAGGGGAGGAGGGCTCCACTACTTTAAATGGGTGGTGAAGGAAAACCAGAGCAACGGGAAGCTATTACAGGAGTTTAAACTGGGCAATGTGGAGGTAGGAGAAGTGGGGGTGAGGTGACACAACCTGACTTATGTCTACGAGAAAGACAGCAAAAACAGGAGGAATCCATCAGGAGACCACAGTAGTACTCCAGGAAACAAAGGAGCATGGCTGGAGCTATCATGGTGGCAGCAGAAACAGGAAAAAAGGGGACAGTCTTGAGAGAGAAAATCAACAGTAATAATCTAAAAGGTATAAAAGGTATATGCCTCCAATATGAACATGAATCCAAAGAAATATTTCTTTAGGAGGTTAGAAAGAGATTCCGGGAACAAATACCACCCTGATATGCATTAGGATCTTAAGTGATATGGGTCAGTAAACTAGGAAAAGACTCAAAAAGGTTAAGTATGAAACAAAAACAGAAAAGATAATCCAGTGCTTCAGAAAGTATTTCTGTGGGGGTATCTCATTCTATTTCTTTTAAAAACAGGCCTATTCTATATTGTAATCAATAGTTATTTTTCCAAATCACTGAAGTTTCATGAGCAAAGATTAGTTTCTTTTCTTTTGTTTCTAAATTCTGTGATCGGCCTTAGCACATCAAAGGCAACAAGTAAAGATTCATGGAAACAAAAGAAAAAACAGTATTTCTTTGTTGTACTCATGAAACTGCGATTAATACCACGTGCATATCTTTCATACATGAAAATCTATTCTCTATATTAAAATGTATTTTCTGCCGTATTTTACATTTGATCAGTTTAGAATTTTTTCCTGTTAATGCAGATCTAATGGTGCTGTATTTCACATACTGATTAGTTTCTGCTATGAAGATAAGGTATGCTCAAGCTGAAAAGTAAACACAGATGCCAATAATTTTTAATTACAGTTAAAAGCAACATGTCAAAACAAAAGTTAAAAATAACAGTGATAAAACAGTAGTTAAAACAATGTGATGCATTTGGAAAAATCCATTCGCTTATCATAAATGAAGAGTGCTATAAATGCTTGGATATACAATATAAATATAAAAATGTTTTCATTAAAAGGCTTTTGAAACAAAGATATACTCATCCACGGTAAAACACCAAATAACGAATATTTTTTAAATCTAATTTCTTTCACAGAAAAAAAGTTTTAGTGGGAATGGGACTGTATTTCTTCAGGGTATGAAGCAGGAGAATGGTCCTCTTTCTCATACTTATTTTCCCAAACCCTTCCCGTTTATCACTCACTCGCTACCATACCTATTGCCGTCAAGCCGATTCCGACTCATAGTGACCCTATAGGACAAAGCAGAAGTGCCCCACAGGGTTTCCAAGGAGCGACTGGTGGATTAGAAATGCCAGCCTTTTGGGTTAGCAGCTGTAGCTCTTAACCACTGCACCACCAGGGCTCCCTCTCTACGTGATCTAAAATTCTCTCTTCATCTGCCGCATTTACGGTTTTGTGTTGGTTGGTTTTTTGTTTGTTTTGGGGGGTGGGAGAGGGAAGGAGATGGCAGAGAAGAAGAGAAAGAGAATTATCTCCACCCATGATCAACAACACCAAGGGTGTCATTGCCTTCAAACCCTGTAGCAACTCGGCAAAGCCAGTTTTGTAAGTCCCATCTTATATGAGGAAACGGAGGTTCATGGAAGTTAAATTGCTCAAGCTCTAAGTGGAAAAGTAAACACTGATCCTCATCTAAGATCAATGTTAATGATCATTTCCACTTCACAACACTGCCTCCCATCTTTAAACAGCTTAGTATCTACTTAACTAGGTACTTTTACTCTGTTCACATTATTTTTTCCATCTTGACCACAAGACTATAGTGACTGACTCTGTCAAGAAGCTAGTTGAAATCAAAACACATCATGTCTAAAGCGTTTCATTTGTTCAGTCCCTGGGTGGTGGCAAATGGTTTGCACTCAACTACTACTCTGAAGGTTGGTGGTTTGAACCTACCCAGCAGTGCCACGGAAGAAAGGCCTGGCGGTCTGTTTCCATAAAGATTACAGCCAAGAAAACACTATGGAGCCATTCTACTCTGTAACACATGGGGTTACTGTGAGTCGGAATTGACTCCATGGCAACTAACAACAACAACAACATCCAGAGAAATAAATAAGACTTAGAAAAGAAAAGGAGACGGAGCGGGTTGGGGAGAAAGGAGGAAGAAGAGGAGAAAGTTGTTACCTTGGTACACTTTATTCTTAGTTAAACTACAATGACTACCAGTGATCATTATTTACTTCTTCTCTGTCTTCACAAGCCATATGTTAGCAATCTGTATTTTTTCCAGAGGAAAGATGTCACACTTATCAATCTCTAAATTTCTAGGATTTAACTTCCCCCCACCTTTTGAAAACTGAGTACTAGCCCAGATACTGACTTCTAATATTGCTCCCACTCTCCAGCTGTCAGACTGTCTTCTCACTGACCCCTGATTTCTGTTTCTATTTCTTGATCTCTATTCTCTTTTCTAAAGATTTTTTCTCCTTGATGGAGAAAATGAAAACACAATTGTTCTCTGTTATCTATGAACACTATCTCACCTTTCTCAACTATTGCACCTGATACTTCGTTCTTGATGCTCCTATTCCAAATATTACTTGGATGGAGGGCTACATGAATTTCTTTGTCTTCCATCATGATACAATCATACTGGACCCTACTCTTCCTTAAACTGTAGAGTGTGTCACTTGTTTGTATGGCCCTTCTTTCCTTCTGCCTCTCCCAATTCCCATTACTGTAATAAGTCAATCTCTACTGTCTCCTCTCTATATTCCACATCTAAAGAAAAAAAAAAAAATCACATAAACATTCTGACTAGCACCCATTACAACTGTCCCTCCAAGCTCAGCTAAATCCTCTGGGGATTCTTTCACCCATCTCTATTTAGGTGACTCTTTAATTCACCAGTATAGTTGCTTCCAATCTGTCCCAGGCCTCCTACCACGCCTGGAATCCATGTTGAATGTACACACTAACCCCGCAAGGTTATCTTGCCCAGTTAAGCTGCTGGGATTTGACTTTCAAGTCCAGAAGCTTTTCATTAAGTTGTCTCTACCTCAA